AATCTGCCTTTTTCTTCAAATGCGAATCTCTCGGCGAAAAATCATCGTATCGAGATGCATAAAAAAGCATTTTAAAGAGGAGACTCTGTACTTTTGTACGCTTTTGATCCCAATAAGCTACAATTTTTTGTTTATACCGTGCACCGTCGCAAACTCGAACCATTATTTTTCAATTTTGCATGCTCGCGCTTTGTCATCCGCCATTTTCAATAAATTTATTTTGCAACATTGAAATAAATTGATTCTTAAAGTAGAGATTTTTAGCTTCATTTCCATATTTTATAGAACTTTCTATCTTTATTATTTACGAAGTTATCGTCAGTTGAAATTTGATGAATTTTTCCCACATTTTCAGTGTACCGCTTTTTTTTCGGGTGAGTGTATATATATGTTTACTAAAACTATTTTTTTTAATCTGCAAGCAAACTGAAATATTGAATTATCCTTGTTTAATGTTTAGGCAAATCACAAAGTCGGCCAAGCAAAGACCAATGTGACTCTTGCATCGCAACAAGTTGATAAAGCTTTATCCGAAGTAACCGAGATTATTAGAGAACTCGAGAATCTGCCGGAAATAGGTGAGTTTTGATCTTATTCCTAAAACCTTTCAACCTTAGATTTATTACTTGCTTTGTTTGATCTATATTTGAATCTTTTTAAAATAATTTCCAAAAATTTATCTAAAAAAACAATTTGATTAGTTACAAATATCAAGTATATATTATTAAACTGTAAAACTTAATTTTATATATTGCTTTTCTTATATTGAAATTAAACAATTTAAATGTTTTATATCTTTAGACGACGCAGACTTGAATCGCCTAGAAGAACGCCTGGTCGCTGCCGAAAAAGAAATTAAAGCCGCAAATCTGGACCAACGAATTCGCGCGTTGACGGACGCGAAAAATCTACAGACGCAATGGGTTAAAAATTATGAAGATGAGGTCAACAGGCTGCGAATAGAAGTGGAGAATATCGATGATATCCGGAAGGCTTTACCTACTGATTGTTATCAACGCGTTCGTCTTGAACCTTGAAATTTATTCCTTTTTACCTTATCATTATTTGCATAATTTTTTAAAAATATATTAAATCATTAAAACATTAAAATTCCGCGTATTTTGTGTTAAGACTCGAGGATTTTTAATTTGATTGTTACAGCTTGATATGCGTGCATGTATTTATGTATGTATATACGTATGTGTGTATGTAAAAATATCAGAGAAATTTTTATTATTTTTACAATATCAAATGACAAGTTTCTTATTTAATCTATTTGATGATTGAAAAGCATTTTGCATACTAGGTTAAAATTTCATGCATAAATATATACATACATACGATGGAAAAAAATGTTTTATACCAAAGATTTTCTTATATGTATTGGAGGATTATCATTTTATCGTTCAATCTGCATCTATTCTAATGATTACTAATTATGTATAAATATGTATATAGATCTGTATACATCCATACATGCAACTGCCATATTCATCGTCTAGAATGATTTAGAATTTAAAAAAACAATTACGATAATTGGTGAAACAATGTTTTCCAACAATATCCTTTTTGGAGGAACAAAACATTCTGGAATGATGAAAAGATCATGAATAAAACAAAATTGAAAAATTTTTTTATAATGGTTGCAAAACACTGATTAGAATATCAATATGATTTAGAATCATAGTTTGTCATCGCATAATAATTTACTATCGAACTATCAACTGTTATCTATATTGCTGAATTTCGAGATTCAGCAAGTAATCAAGATGTAACTTGTGCCAGCAATATTTTTACAAGATATTTTTACAAGAGATTTTATATATATATATTTATATATATCTAAAATATATATATATATATATTTATATATATAAAAGAGCATTTTTATACGAGCTTCGAATGTTGTACAAACTGTATCGATTGAAGACAATAAATATCTCAAAAGTAGTAGCAACGAATTATATATCTCGCAATATAATGAAATAAAAAAAATAAATTTTTTATTATTAATTAAATAATATTATGATTCATCTATCTGCAGTTGTTCACAAAATTATCTACAAGTTCTACAAAAATATTTAATGTAATAAAAAGAGAAAAAAGAAAGCAATTTATATAGATAAGATGTATATAGAAAAATTAATTTTTTGTAACTGATATCTTTTTTTTCATTAGAGAGTTGATACACTTCTAAAATAATAAATTAATAATAATTTCTAAAACACATAAAACTATATTCTAAAATTTTTCAAATTGTTTGATCAACTTCATGAATTACTGCATGTTTTTATCTTGTAGATAAAAAAAGATTGTTCGTGTCTGTGGATTAGGAAGTTTGTGTGATTAGAAACGATTGTAATATATTATAAAATATTATTATGTATGTAATATTAGTAATTAAAAAATTTTTATGGGGGGGTCTTTGGTAATTACAATAAACACTATTGTATCTGTGTTAATGATGAGAGACATTTAAAGAGTGATTACCATCATAAATTATTATAATAATGATATTTATTTTTGTCATTCATAAAATCTCACTATCAATAATAGGTACGTTAAACAGACTTAGATTATTTCTTAAAGCTACAAAAAGAACTCTTATCGCGAGAGAGAGGAGATGAAGAGGAAGGAAGCTACAGGACACAGTTCATTTAATTATGAACAAAATGATTAAAAACACCAATATAGCAGTCAACACTCCAATGGCTACCCATTGTCTCCGATCTAGAACAAACGGAAAGTAACATCACATGCGTCACTCGAGATTTTTACGAGATCGATGCGAATCATTTACGAGATTAAATTGTGGTTTTACATTTTCATGAAAGTACTTGTATCGTGATTAATACAAATTTGTTGATTACAACATTGTTCCAGCCGATGCTTCTATTTTAAAATATTCATAGGACTCAATTATGATTCTTAATTTACTTTTTATTTTGATTTATTCTATTTTAGCTTTGCTTGAAAAACAGTTGATAAATATTCTTTCTATTTAACTCTAAACTCGGCTAAATTACCGAAGTAAAGATTAAAACAGTAAAATTTATAACATAGAATATCAATTGTATAACTTTCAGAATTGTATATATTATAATTGGAATTCATACAGTTACTCACAAAATTCTGATCAAAAGTATTGAAAAATTCAATTATTCAGGAATAGCTGTAATTATGATTTATTATTTTGTATCTCTTTCTAATAAAATACAGAAGATACATAAAAAAGATTTAGAAATGCAAGAGAGAAAACTTTACACAGAATTTTTCAAATATTTTTTATGAATCTCGTGAGTATAACTGTAAATATTAGTCTAAAATAAAAAATCGTAAGGAAGAGGAGTATTTATAGTTGTTTACAATTCACAATACAAATCGGTTCTCAAGTTTTATTCGTCACTATATTCTCTTTTTCCTTTTTTTCACAATTGGTCATCGACGAGAAAGAGAGAGATAACAATAAAACTACGTTTTTGTTCGATTACATTTACAATCTCTACGCTTTTCTCGACTCACATATATATATATATATATATATTCCTTAAAGTTCTTATGCACAAATTGTCTTCTTTAACAAAGAAAAATATATAACCATTATCTTCAATAGGTTTTTTTAACGTATCATATATTTCTTTTTAATTTCCAAAATTTCTCACATACAGCTATGAAAAAATGGGATTTCAATGCATAATTTCCATTAAAATAATTTGTGCAAGATTTGTTTTGGAATGCAAATTCTGAAGTATATTTAATTCTTTAATTTGATTTTTTATTTCTTATATGTTCCTGAAATACATTTAATTACTTAATTTAACTTCTTTAATTCTGAAATTTCTGACTTTGTATAGATTCTTGAAATCTTAAATTCTTTGACTATTTTATTCTTATTTTTTTTAATTCTTACATTTTTAGGTATTTAATTTCCTTTTTATAGATCTTTCGATTCTAAGATTCTAAATTTTTACGCGTGTTGGATCTTTAAATTATCCTTACTCTTTCCTTTGGAGAGATGATGTTAATCTTCTTTGCATTGCTGATATTTAGAACTTCAATACTTTACTTTTTAAATTTTTCTCTTATTTTGAATTTTCCAAAATATTGTACTCTAAATAATATCTAACTAAATTCTTATTTTTCACTAAATTTATTTATTTTTGTTTTTCTCAAGGATAGAGAATTAAAACATGCGACTTATGGGGTGACCTGTACATCCTTTGGGTGCTTAAATTATGTTCAATAATTGCACAATATATAATTTTACTAAAAGTGCTCCCTCGGCAATCTAACTGGTCCGTTCTGATTTCAACGTTACACTCGCATTTTTTGAACAAGGCTCAATATATCCTTGGTAATTGTAATAAACTACGTCATCTTACGTAGCAACGATCAAAATAAATTGATTAATTTTTTCACTTTTTAAAATTTTTTTTTCTAAAACTTACATCGGCCGACATAATGTTTTAATCTATTGCGATCTAAACCGCAACATATGATCTATTTGCATCTAAGTAGAGGATTTTAATTTTGTCCTTACTTTATTTTTATTTTACTTCTAATTTTCACTTTATTTCTACTTATAATTAGTGCTAATTATAATTAGTGAAGAGAGTGTAACAAAAATGCAAAATATGATTAATATAACTATCTCGAAACAGAAACTCGCGTCGAAAGAGATTTACTCTTTCATTAAAAATTATTTATTTTTCAGTCAATTGTTAACCAAATTGTCAAATAAATTATTTACTAAACTTCTAAATTATTTTTAGATATTAAAATTAAAAAAAAGAATTACAAAGTTACGATTGATCATCATCTATTAATTACTTGCTAAATAATTAATCAATTACTTGAAAAAATTGCAAAGTTGTTTTTTTATTTATAAAGTTAAAAAATTTATTTTCTAAATTATATTTTATTATCAAAACAACTTAGCTAATAATATAATTAAAATATAAATAAAACATTAAAATATAATTAATAATATAATTAATAATGCCATTTGTAATTGCTTTTTTATATAATTAATAAAAATAATTTAGATATCATTTAGTAAATAATTTTCTAAAACAGATAATATAACTAATTCAGATTACATAATTTTGATATTGGATAATATATAGGCTTCTCATTTGCAACAGCTTCTTTTTTTCTAGCAATAAATTTTTTCTCTAGCAACAAATTTAAAATTGGTATTTTTTCAATTTGATAGGAATTGTTGCAATTTTTAAATTTCTAAACATTTCTATTTGCGCTGATACACAAAATGCAAATTTGCACTACAAATCTGCAAAATAAAGTGTACTCTCCAGATTTTAAACAACCACCATCTTTTTAGCTATACAATTATCTAAAGAACAATCATATAGTTAAAGATTGATTCAACAACACCAATAAAAAATATTGCAGCTGTAAAGCTGTAAAGCTTCTCCTTTCCATGAAGTTATTTATCTTTTTTCTTACACTTTTTATTTATAAACTTTGCATGTATGTATTTTAATAATTTATATATTTAGCATTTTATTTATATATTTTTAATCTGTATCTTCTTCGAGTATAAATGTCAATGAAATAACATTAGAAAATGATTTTGACTGAGAATATTCAAAAATGTCATTACAATACTTCTCATTGATGTTGTCAAATTAAGGATCCAAGAGAATTAATCCCTGGAACACAGGAAACAGTTGGCGATTGTAGTGGACAGAGAGGAAAGAGAGGAGGGCTTGTTATCAGAGGCGATTAGATCGGCCATACTACTGGAGGCCGAGGGTGTAGTAGGGGCGGGAACATAATTATTATAGTTACCATTACTCATGTGTAGCACCTTGGCCATCTTCTTCATAGTGGCATCCAACTTGGAATCTGTTGTCTCCAACTCATTCCCAAATTCATCCAGCATTCTGCAAAAAGCATATCTCATAATAATAAAGGTAAAATAATAAATTACAAATTATATTATTGTATTATTAGCAGTATATATTAATATTGTTAAATAATATATAATTTTTCTCAACTGTATTACGAACAACTGAAGAAGATAAGATAAAATATTGCTTACACAGCTTGCTCATCCAGCTCGCTGTTGATTTGCCTAGATACCGTTTTCAAGGTGCCAACTGACTCCCCAATCATGTCTAATTGTTCGTCTTGTTGCCTCATCATGGAATTTTGCTGCTGTAATGTGTCACTGAGAAATTGCCTGTTTGGGCTATCCATTTCATTTTCCAACTTGCTGTACTTGGTGGTGCCATGATTGGTCGGCATTCTTGCAGGACTATTATCTAAAAGCGGCTGAAATTACATCAGATTTACATTATCATAGATATGTAACATAATCAGGACTGTCAAAATTATTGTAAATTAGATTTATTAATATATTTTTGATTAGAAGATATATCATATTTAATGTTCGGAAATTTTATAGTTTGATAAAGAGAAACCTGAATACCGTGTATACCATTGTAGTTCGCGAAGATTAGTAAACAAATTTATCAATTCTACAACGCTTGAACTGTCAAAATAATACTAATTGATAAGAGCAACATGACGAATCAATCCTTACAGGTTAAGTCAGAAAGTGCACTGAAATGCGTCAACCAATAGCCAAACGGTCGATAATGGCAACAAGATTAGACACGTTACTAAAAGATGTCGCTATAAAATAACAACACACCGCATGTTTTTTTACCTATTTTTTAAAAAATTACAAGATTTAGATTTATTAAATTTAAATTATTTTCTTATTGATGTAGATAAATGTTTTTTATTAAAATATTAATATAAAATTTTGAGATGTTCTAAATATTTACTTTTTTCCCATTTATTTTTCTGTATTGTTTATTATTTTCTTCATTTTTTATTTTATTTATGCTGATTTTACCATATTTTATTATTATATATATTGCCTATTTTTCCCAATATTTTTTCCCCACAGTATTTACTAGATATAGTTACGATGTAATTAAAATATAGTAGAATGTAATATAAATATACACAAACCTGTCTTGCTGTGCTGTCACGATCTCGGCTTCTGCTGAGGTTTAATTTGTCCTTCATGATCTGTGAAACGTTCAATGAATTAGTGTTAAGACGACAATCGTTAAAGTAAAGCGTTATACAATGATATTGTTTAATAATTTAACTAAGAATTAGAATAAAAGATCTAATATAGAAAATCAAAAGTATTGTTTAGCTTTAAAATATTATTAATAAGAGTCATTATTTTATTATTATAAAGAATTACTTTACAGTATTATAAAAAAAAATCAAACATCGACTGTATTGCCGAACAGTGCGAATAATTGCCGGAATAAATAAGAAAATTCTGTTTAGAAAAATGTAGACACATCAATTAATTAATTATTTAACATATTACCTTAACTTCCTCTCGTGCCTGCTCGATAAAGCTGCGTTGAACAGTAAGCTCCTTGTTGTCGATCTTAAATTTTGTCGGGTTCTTCTCAACAATACGTGCATAGGTATTAAGGACAATATAGAAAATGTAAGAACAAATAAATTTAAGAACAAAGAACAATTATAAAACAACTTCGTGTTTCAAATTCAAATTTCAATAAAATTAACACTCCTGTTACCGTGAACAAATATGATTTTTTCTTACAGTACGAATTTAAACTGAAATACATATTGAAGTTGAAATAAAATCTCTAAAGTTAATTAAAACGTAATTAGAATTTCAAATTGATAAAGGATATAAATAGTGTCCTCGAGGTCGTCGAGATCCCACTCGATAGAACGTAGCGCTTTCCGCAATTCGGTGGTGGTCCAGTCAAGCTCATCCGTACGCGAAATCGCTGATGCCGAGCCGCTCACCGGCGCACCACCGCCGGTCGGCGATATAATTGCAACATCCTGCAACTCGTTCCAACGACCGTACAAACCGCGGTTCTTATTCAATGCCTTGCACACCTCGCTGAAACAGTCAAAATTGCGTATCAGCAAATTGAGTTGCTGCTCGCCACACTTAATGTTTATCGAGGCAAATTCGCACAAGTACGCCCATATTTCAACCAAAAAAAAAAGCAATTGATATTTCAATTCACATCATTCAATACAAGAAAAAAATTCTATATATTTCACACACATTTCAATTTATACTTCAATTTTATTTAAATTTAACTGTATAATCACTATTTAATTCAAGTTGAATTTATGTAATTAGATATATAATTAGTTTCATTTTTATGGACATATTTTTATTTTTTATGCAGTTTTACGGTCATATTATTTCGTTATTCAATAATTACTGAGTAATTTCACGCATCGGCAACATTTGTGAGATCTATACTTTGCGAATCTTTATGTAAGTTTACTGTCTTCAAATAAAAATCGTTAATTTAGGAAGAAACGTCGATTTATGAATCACTTATTGTTTCACTAAAATGATAGATCTGTCAGACGCGAGTAACATCATGCAACGTTCATCATATGGGATCCACATCGCTCTGTCACACGGCGTGACAAGTGATTGGTTTTATTGGAACAATATGTCAGCTTGTGATAACATATACACGCAAGAGATATTCTTAGAAAAGAGAGATAAAACGCGACAACGCTTTGTCAATCGGTCGCCGCATCAATTTTCTCTTAATCCGTAATATCACACCTTCGACCGATAGCTCTTATCGGCGGCGCCGTTATCAGCGTGTTTACGAGCGCTCTCCTCACGCGCGCGGACACTCTCACTCGATCTCGCAAAAAGAAAAAATCCCCATGACAATGTCATGGCAAGGGATCCACACTCGAATTGTTATCTTTCTTTTCGGCCACGCGACGTAACGTCGATCGCGAAAAAATCAATGCACTCGCTTCTATACCGCGGTACACTTACTCCTTGACGACAAAGAACGGATTTTCCAGCGTCATTCCTCCCTCGCTCCGTCTTTGAATTTAAAGTCTGATCCGCGGCCCGTCTCGCCGCGAAGGCGGCGCGGCACCCTCGGTGGAAGCGCGATCGCGCCTCAGCCGCTCGCTCATCGGTGGAATAAAATTCCGTGCGCGCCCGAGGTCCGAGGAACGGTACGCTCGTACGCGGGAAACGCTGTGCACCTGCTGTCTCTGACTACGCTGCAGCGAAAAACGGACAATAGGCCCTGCGACGCGCAAGTTCGGCCACTCGCTCGCAGCACCACTCGCGATTGCTCGCGATGTCGTGACGTCTGCTTGCGTCTGCTCCGGCTGGCTCCGGCTCTAGCACCGCCAACCACTATTTATTTGATTTTCATGGTCGTGCGCGCCCCGGCGCGGCGCGTCACGACGCCATGCAAGGCTGGCGATTGCTGTGATATTGATTCATCGTATGAATATGAGGCATTGTTCATATGGTCGTCACTAAAAATTTTTTATTCATTTTTGGAAGCTTTTGTTTAGCGAAAGAAAAATTGCTAAAATTTTTTTAAAACTTTCATTGTGCTATTCTATTTCGCAAGTTTTAGAACATTTCGTATATGTCGTGCATCGAATAGAGACGTACAAATTCTCTGATAGATTTTATGCATCTACATAAATTCGTCTGAATAGATCTTTACGATCAAGCAAATTTATACAGTCGCGCGCGACATATTTAAATTCACGTAAAGTCTCGTGAGTTTTAAATTTGATTATGCATATACAATTTGATCCTCCGTAGATTCATGCATTCTAAAAAGAATTCATCCTTGTCTCGATTCCAATTCTTGCATAAACATGTACCATTGCATAATTCTAGTTTATCCCTTGCTGACATTCTGTTCTTTTTAGTTGCATTTGCAGTATCTTCTTTCAATTTCTCCTTTCTTTAAATACGTAGTTATATATTTATTCCATAATGCAGAAAATATATTACAGCTGAAAGTAACAGATGCGATTACACGCGACTGATACATATAATCCATTTTAGTATTATTTAAGTATTATTTAAGTGAATTCTTGTCTTTGTAGAAACTAATCCTGAAATAAACTTTCGTTGATTAAAGTATACTTTATCGCAAATAAAACATTAACATTGGGATATAACATTTTCGTATGTTTTGTTCTGTTAAACTCTCATCATTGTAACAATTAAGTATAACGATCGCTAAGATAGTGCTAAATAGTGCTGAAAAACTAAATATTCATTTGTACTACTTTTGCCATGGCACGGACCAGCCTTCAATTAAAATATGTACAGCATTAGCTAATTATTATATTAGTCAAAAATATTAAGATTAGTTTTAAATACACACACGCATAAAATAAAAAATAAAATATAGACATTTAAAACGTTTTTAACATTGCTATATACCGAATGTCCCACCAAAAAGTTAAATTATCAGAATATCTAATTATTTCCTTTATTTTGTGACGATATAAAAAAAAAATTTCAAACATAACTTTTATGGTTTTGAATTATTTTTCTGCATTCAAGGAAACAATTAGATATCCTGCTTCTGGCGACACATTATGTAGTTTTTTCCAACAAAAGTATATTTTGCATTTACATTTTACATTTTTATATTAAATTTTGAAACTTTCAAGAATATGCCGAATTTATTAACGAATAGATTAAACTGTTTCCAAACACTCGATATACATGCAATGGTTAGGGTTACATTTTACAAGCAGCGAAAAATTTCTTACATCTAATGCCTTTTAACACAGGCCTTCCTCATAATCGTCCTCTTCCTCCGCTTTTTTCACCGGTTTCGACTGTGATGCACTTTCCGGCTTCTTTTCGGTTATTTTTTCTGCTGGTTGGTTAGTTTTATTAATTTCATTATGTTCCTAAAAAAATAAACAAACGTTTTATTGTGTTTATAATTAAATATAATAATAATAAAAATGAAGAAAATGAAACATAATGATAAAACTCACGTGTTTAACTTCCGATTCAACAGAAGCTTGTGTCATGACTTTGGATGCGTTGGGAGATACATAGGATTCTGCGGCATTGGCCCTTATTCCAGTAGGCTGGATAACATAAGGACTATCTTGCTGCGGTAAGGGCAAACCTCGCGCCAGCTTTGCATATTCTACATCCATGTGCTTGATAAAGGGATTATTAAGCGCCGCCCGAGCTGCATCTGCGTCCTCGTTGTCATATGCTTGCAGCAGCATTTCCAATGTTTGCACCTGGAAGAGTCAAAAAATTGATTATCAATTAAAATACTTTCATGACTTTTATTACGTATATATTTTCACAATATAAAATTATGACATTGAATGTATGCGATATTCATACACAATGCAGCCATGAAAGTGTTAAGTAAAAAGAATTTATTATTTTTCAGATATACTTCGGGAGCCTCGCAGTAGTTTCCCCATTCCTTGAAAGCTTTTTCAGCCGCCACTTGATCGCCCCGTGCTAACTGCACCAACACCAGTGCCACGGTTAGTCTCCCAATTGATTGCCAGTGCTTGATTTCCTGATACATGCCAATCTCACGGCGAATCGCGTCCGCTGCCTCGTCATACATCTGCAGTTTCACTAACAATCTCGCAATTTTGCTCAAATATTCCGCCGCACTCCGTGGACTGTCCTCACCCTGGAATTATATCACTTTCAGATCTCTTAACTTTTTGATATAATCTTAATGAAAATCTTTTCACAATTTTCTAAATATTAGTTTTCTTTTTATTTATTTTTGCATTTTATAATATATTTTTATTTTTATCTTGTAAAATATAAAATAGCCGTCTACCATGAATATGTCAGCCGCGCGTTTAAATAATTGCAGAGCCTGTTGGGGCTGTGTAGCTTCCAGCATTTTGGCTGCTTTGTCGAGAGCAGTTACACCTGACTCAGGTGAACCATGCTGCTGAAAGAGGCTACAGGCACTGTGAGCTAACGTTGGTACCTCTGACAGATCTCCCATTTCCTTGCAAATAAGCAGAGCCTGCTCAATGTTCCTAAAAAATTTGTATTCTTATAATATCGAATATATTGCACAAGATGCAACCTAAATTCTGTATATATGTGTACATATAATACATACTTTGCTGCATGGAACCATCTATATTGCATTAAATTGTAGTATTAAGGAAAATTAAAGAGAGAAAAAGAGAGAATATATTAAATATACAAATAAAATAAATTATAAAAGATAAAAAAAACAAATATTTTCATAATATCAAACATATACTTATAAAATTTAAGTGTTAATAATCTCAGTAAATAATCTCATGACATTTCGAGTTGTTGCAAATAAAATAAAAATATTTAGAATTGTAAAATTGTAAGATTCCTTTTAATATATAAAAGGATACGCTTTAGTCTGTTTGAAACAGTCAGCCGCCTTTTTCAAACAATCTTTGCATTGTACATACGACTTAGCTATTCGAAAGCATGTTGCTAAAAGAGAAAAAGTAGACAAGTACAGCTTTAACTGCAGTTTTTGTAAAACTTTTGAACAATTAATTAATTTTACTTTTATTAAGATATAAATTGCTTTGGGTGCAATTCTTTAAAAATTATTATTAAAATACATCTAATTTTGAAACTATTGCATATTTTACTATTATTCTAATATAATATTTTTCCTATATATTTATAACAAAATTTGCTAATAGCTTTTTACCTGCATGTGAGTATTCATCAGCTGCCACCTCATAATCAGGTCGCCATTTCAAGAAAGTAGGTTTTAAGCTGCAAAAGAAATTTATTTAATGAATAAGTTTCCAAATACTGTGTACAATAAGAGCATAGAAGATTTTTATAATCCTACAATTCAATAACAAATTTTAATTATTTAATAATCTATAAATATTAAAAGAGATGCAATAGTGCTCCTCCACAATAAGCAACTGTATTGATTTAAAATATAATTAGATATTTTCCTGACATTCAAACAATTAAGAAATGTCAAAAAATCTCAGAGTGAGATCAAAATATCCGCGAAAAAGAAAAAGAAGTACTTACGCTTTTTCAGCCTGTCGTATATGCTCATTTGCCTCCTCGATCTTTGACATTTTTCTCCGAATGGTGCCGTTGTATTCTTCTCGTCAAATATAACGACAATAGAATTATGTCAATTGAAATGTATTGTTCAGTTTTGTGGAGGTATGCACAGATGCCGAAATAAATCTTTATCTTTTATATTTATCACTCATAAAAATGACGTATTCGGGACTACGAAGTACATATAACACCAAGAAGACTAGAGACAAGAGGCCGAACTCGACGATAACCTAGTTTAATTTAGCAACTGTAACGCCGTATGACGGAATCTATCAAAACTAAAAAATCTGCAGACGATTGCAGCGCTTTAGCGGAATATACAGGAACTAAAAAACTATAGGCGATTGCAGCGCCTGAACGGAACATGGAGGAACTAAAAAACTGTGGACGATTGTAGCGCTTTAATGGAATATAGAGGAACTAGAAAAACCTAAGGTGATTGCAGCGCCTAAACGGATTATGGAGAAACTAAAAAATCTATGAGCGATTGCAGCGCTTGAATGGAATATGAAGAAACTAAAGAATCTATGGGCGATTGTAGCGCTTTAATGGAATATAGAGGAACTAAAAAACTATAGGCGATTGCAGCGCCTGAATAGAATATGGAGAAACTAAAAAATCTATAGGCGATTGCAGCGCTTTAACGGAATATAATGAAACTAAAAAAACTATAGGCGATTGCAGCGCCTGAACGGAATATGGAGGAACTATAAAATCTATGGGTGATTGCATTTAAGTAAGGTACTAGATATGTAGGTATTCTCATCCGCCATTTTGGTTCCTATTAGATGGAGAATTATAGCGTATATAGTATAGTATAGCGTACATGTGTAACACGTCAATTATTAAAATGATTCAGGATTTTCGACTCATTTTGGCAAGGAATAACGCCTATGTACTTAGTGGGCAGTCTTTAAGTGTCACCCTGTATACGCTATAATTCTCCATCTAATAGGAACCAAAATGGCGGATGAGAATACCTACATATCTAGTGCCTTAATTTAAGCGGAATATTTAAGCCAGCATCACATTGTGCAACTTGTTGCAGCAATTCGCTTGCGATTTAGTAAGTTACCAGAAATGCTGAGTGCCGTATGGTGCATTTTTAATAGTTTACTAGATTGTATGCAAATCGTATGCTGCAACAAGTTGCATAGTCTGATACAGGCTTAAGAAATCTGCGATGGCGGATTGTCTACTACGCATGCTTGTTTTTCTGGAAACAAGTCCAGTAAAGTTTATCCTATGTGTTGTAGGTTGTAGGTTAAGGTAACAATATTATTTTTATTGCATAATTTTTGTTTATATTTTTTTATAATTTTTACATTATTTTAAAATAGAATAAGCTATATTATTTTATTTCATTTTTTGTATGTTCTATAAAATTATAATATTTACATTTCATCAAATTTTACATTGTTTATGAAACAATACTATCATGTGTTACTTTTATTTTGCACTTAACTCTCTTTTAACAAATTTTATGTTATAATATATTGCAATATTTGCTATAGATATGTAAGATTATCATATTTTATATTGTTTAATTCATAAACTTATAAAACTTATAAACGTGAATTAGATGGCTGAGCGGTTAGAAGATCTAAATCTGCCTAATGCAGTCGTAACCAGAATTGTCAAGGAAGCTTTACCAGACGGAGTAACAGTTGGAAAGGACGCCAGAACAGCAGTGGCTAAGGCTGCATCTATTTTTATACTTTATCTTACATCATCTGCCAATGTAATAGCCAAGAAGGGCAATCGCAAGACTATCAGCGGACCGGATGTAATTCAGGCAATGGTGGATATCGAATTTGATCAATTCATTGATCCACTGCAGGAATCTTTGGAGAACTGGAAAAAGGTTCAAAAAGAAAAGAAGGATGCAACATCAAAGAAAAAGCAGCAAAAAAAGGATGAAGATGATGTTAATGGTGAGGATGAAGAAGCAGGAAAAGAAGTTATAGTTTTGTAAGAACCAAGTTTATCATACTATATATTATTAAATAAGCATATATTGTTAATTTACTTAATAGTGATAATTAAAAATATTTATAAAGAAAAGAGTAAAGAGCTTAGAGATAAATAATAATAAAAAACTTGTCTTAAGATAAACTAAAGAAGGATGAATATTTATTTTGGTGTTTGTTTAGTAACAATAATTTATATATTTTTATATATATCTTTCAATAATAGCTGTAATTTTTTAACGACTAGAAGATGCAACACCATGATTTAATGTTTTAATACACAGAAAAGAAGTTGGATTAGTTGTTCAAAAGTTAAAGACAGACTTGTAAACAAGCTTTATTATATCATTTGACAGCAATTTTTTCGCATAACTAATTGACAAAGCTAACGTTTACATAAAAAAGTAAAATTCAGATTGTATCAAGATTTGAAAGTGTTTTCACACAGAGATAATTGTTTATCAAAATTTGTCGTAAAAATTATTTTGTATAAAAGCTGGTTCTTTTTAATTTCACGCTCAACTACAAACAGATATTATGTTTTTCTATCTCTCTTTGAGATTTGTGTGTTGAATATATTATATATTCTGGATATGTTTGAAATAATGATTTATATATAAAGTAATTATAATTAGATATTATGGATGTAAAATATCCAGTCTTTGATTTTCTCAGAACTCACACTTTTTTAATCTTATTTAGTAATATCCTTCAAATAAAATATAATTAAAATCTATCTAAAGCAAAATATTTTGTAACATATATATATATATATATAATTTTAAATTGTGTGCAAATAAAACATAGTTTCAGCTAAATTCACGGACGTCTTGTGTAGTATTTTAATATCTATCCATAATTCTCAAGATCACTCTGTATAATATATCTATATAATGTTGTATAATATAGCTTTATGACATAACATATCGATAAAGCATAAAATCTCACACGTTAGATTTGTTTTTGGACAAATAAATTGATTAAAGTTTTACTTTTTTTATATAGTTTTTATATTGATAAAAAAGAAAAAATGAGTAAAACTTTTAATGTATCTAATATTTTTCTGAATATATTACTTTATTTTACTAGTATTTCGTCTATTATTTAAATAACCGGTTAAAGTGCACATAAAATATCGTTAAATTATAGTGGAATGCTATCTAGATTTTTACTAAGAAAAAGTCGATATAAAACTGGTCAAAGAATTTCCGAATGGGAAACAGTTGGATTTTATGGCAGAAAACTAGTTACTCACAAAATTGGTCAAATGTTTGAAATATTCCATTATATTTTTTAATAAGAAAGAAAAAAGAAGAGACAAATTTTTATACTTACAACTTATATGTTGTAAGAAGAAAAAAAATATAATTAGATAAAATATTCAACTAAAATAAATATTGGAAAAAATGAAATGATACGAAATACACTTGAGCAATTTTGTGAGCCACTATATACACAGCATTGATATATTTTTTCTATATAAGTATGTGAAATCGATATTCATGAGCATTATATTACCATGCAGTAATAAATATAATTGTGCGCGTTACATTTTCCATTATTATGGAAATAATTTATTCGCGCGTGCATGTGATCACAGATCAGGAAGAACAGCGTATTTTAGATGCTCACGAGGAGCACTAAATCGAACGATTAATCGCGAATAAGCTGAATATAAACAAGATTCTCGCGAATTTAAGGCTGCACAACTCGAACTTTGCGCTCTATTGAACTTCTGCACATTGGACACTCTGCAGAAATTTTATTCGCGCAAGGGGAGCAACAGCAGAGGTGTCCGCAGGGTAAGAAAATCACTTCACACTGTAAAAAGAGAGAAATCATATAATATAAAAAATATAGTTTATAATAATAAAAATTTTATCGTGCATTAAAATCACATGTGGGAAGTAGAAAAGTTATAAACACAGAGCAAAACAAATAGAAAAAATATAATATATATAATAATAAATAATGTGAACACACACCCATTATTGTAACATAATTTTAAAAAATATATTACGAGATAAACAGATGAAAATTTGAAAAAATATACTTACTTGCAGATCAAGGCAAATTACACATTCAATCATATTGATGTTCTGAACGAGATTACAGTCCTGATTACTGGTCGATGCTTCTTCGAGAGGTGCGGAAGGCATTGCGAGTGATCTGGATTCGTTCAATTTTACCTCTGCCAGATAATTTTCAACTGCCAACATTATAGCAGCGCGATCCTTTTCACAATTTATACCAATCTATAAAGCGAAAAAAAAAACAATTTTATGTGTATACGACTATTAATTTTTTAAGTCTATTTTTTATACATTGTGAGTAATATTCTTTCTACATTGTGTATTAATGTTCTCTCTCTAATACAATTCCGTACATCTTGTAACTGTTCGTCGCTGATGTTCGGCAGCAAAGACGGCAATTTAGCCAGGAATGGAAGGCAGTGTAAAGCTCCTGCTATCGCCACGTGTCGTACCAGCATAGGTTCCAACATCTCCAGCAATCCTTGCGGTCGGGCTTCCATCAGAGATTGGTACTGCATCAGCCAGAACAAACTGCCCCGTCTCGCATTCTGTGAACATTTAATTAGTTTCACGAAAAATATTAGATGTAATAATAATACAATAAAATCAATAAGAAAAAAATTAATTTTTCCAAATTTCTGACAAATAAAAAAACATTATTTGTCAGAAAAATTTGGAAAGAGACAGAAAGATATATATAATTACAGAGATGCATCGCTGTTGCTCTATTGTGTTAATTGTTTCTAGTAACTGGTCTCTCCTGGTTTTCTGCTGTTCCAATAAGTCTATAAGAATGGCTGTTAAAGCCACGCGTCTATCAGCAATTTCATTCTGAAAAAAATATATACATTAAAAATTATATGTATATAATTTGGGAGTTAAGCTAGAACTTACAAGTTGCTGATTGATCTCCAACTTTCTCCTTTCAAGCTCAATGTTGGTGAGCGCGGCCAATTGCGACTGCACTAGGTTCACTTGCTGCACAATGCTCCAGGAGCGTGCGTCGCTACGTTCCAGCAATGCTGCAACTGCCGCTTTCTGCAAAACTTCGTCCTGGCGTAAGCTGTCGACGAGGTCTTGTCTGTTTTTCTCCTGGTCGTGTACTACCTGCGCCAAATGGTCGTTCTTCCTCACCTCTCTAACATAATTCGAATTATATTTTCACGATGGTTCTTCATACGATAGTTATAAAACAAGTTATATATTCATAAGCAATCGTTTCAAAAATAAATTTTAAAAAAGTAAAGGAACATCTTTTCATGTGTTGACTCATTTTCAAAAAATAAAGTAGGTAATATACAGAAAAGTGAATTTATAACTTTTACTAACAGCGTAAGCAGTGATTGCGCATTGTAATCTCTATATTTCGTATATTCCTCCAATTTCCTCGCTCTGCACATTTCTTCCTCCAATAATTTCTCCATTGCAACTGCAAAACAGATTATTCATGTGCAAATTTCTAATTATACTTTCAAGTCATTCTGCGCTCGATACTCACGGAGAATATCTTTCATACGCAGTAGAGATTGTTCCGAGTGACAAGAGCTTAACAATTGCATCTCCTCCTGCTTCTCCTGTTCCACTAATTCTGCTTGACTTTGTCTTTCCTCTTCGCTGTTCTTTAGAAATTCTTTAATCACATTGTCGGCTTCCTTTTCAGCTGAAAGAAAAAGAAACTTATTATTTTTATCTAATATTCATCTCTTTATAATTAATAAATTGCACACCTAGTGTAAAATTTGTAAAGGATTCAAAGTGAGATCGTACCATTGTAAATATACGAAAGTAAACGCGTTCGATTTATATCTCTTTCCTGCTGCACTTTCTCGAGTTCTTGCTCCAATTGTATCTGCTGCAACGCTAAATTTTCCAAAAGCTGGAAACGTAACACTTTAATGGTTAAAGTATTTAGAATCTTTTTAATGCATTTGTATATGATAATTAACAAAATAAATAGTTACAGAAACATATTTCATTAATTTAATTTTGATTTAATGAATAAATACAATAATGTTTTCATTACTTTTTTCCTGTGCGCTTTAAGTGTGGATTGTACTTCCATCTCATATTCCTGCTGTTGTTTTATGTTTTTCTCAACCGCCAACAAGGCATTTTGTCGATGTTCCTGTCGAGAGTAAATTTTACTGTAATACATTTTTGCTATATATTATATATTTTTCAACTCATATATAGTAACATATTAAAACTTTTTAGTGCTACACAAATGAGATATTATTAAAAGAAACAGAGTTAATTACAGAAAAGAAATAGATCAGAAAAAATTATAAATTGTGAAAAAATTAAAAATAAATATTGTAGAAGAAATATATAATATATTCCAAACGATTATTATAAAATTGACAAAACTTAGATAAAAGAAAAAAAGACCGAAAACATGAATAAATTAAATAATCAGTATTTTAGTGATGTAAAAAACAAGATATTAGATATTTGCTTTATATTAAAAATTATGCTATAAAAATTTTGTTGTTCAAGTTTTTTTTCTATTAAATCAGTTTATTAATTGATTTTTATAGATTAGACCACTATTGCACTGAAGATTTTTTAAACTTATTACAATAAATTACAATAAAATGGATGATAAGTGAGAAGCATACGAAACTCAAAGAAGCGTCCAACATGCCTTCATTTTGTCTAGCTTCTGTAACGCTGCCTAAAAGAGAAAAAAAAGAGAAACGATGAATATGCGGAAACATCAAAAGCACATTCTGTGAGAGTTATGATCACTCGTAAAACTGATCAAATTCTGTTAAACTTTTTAATAATATAAAGCAGAAAAAAGTATGTAAAAGAAAAAGAGGATGTTAAAAATAGGTCGATTTTGGCCCATGGTGTAGAACAAAAACTACAAATGGTTTCTTATAGATTTTATACCGTAAAATCACGTGGTAAAGTCCGTTTTCCTCTAGACAGCGGGGAAAGTACAGAAAAATTGAAAAAAAGATCATACAAAATGCAATTTCCCGTATAAAAACACATGTACTTATGGATGTACTTGAGTGAACGCAAGTGTATAGTCAGAGTAAGGGAATCATTGAGCGGCTATTCTCTGACCGTACGACGTTAATGATTGCTGTGACAGCGCTGCCATACAAACAATTAGATATTATAATTCTCTTAGATGAGAAGAATCTGTCTGGAACAGATATAAAAATTGCTTGGAGTTTATACTGAGTACGGGAATCATTGAGCGGCTATTCTGTGACCGTATGACGTTGATTGATGTGACAGTGCTGCCATACAAACAATTAGATATTATAATTCTCTTAGATGAGAAGAGTCTGTCTGGAACAGATATAAGAATTACTTGGAGTTTATACTGAGCAAGGGGATGATTGGGCGGCTATTCTCTGACCGTAGGACGTCAATGATCGCTCTGATAGTGCTGCCATATTGAGAATTAGATATTATAATTCCTCTTGCAAGAGAAGAGTCTCTCTCGAACAGATATAAGAATTACTTGGAGTTTATACTGAGCAAGGGGATGATTGGGCGGCTATTGTGTGACCGTAGGATGTTAATGATTGCTCTGACAGCGCTGCCATACAAGCAATTAGATATTATAAGGATGTTAAAAATAGGTCGATTTTGGTCCATGGTGTGGAACCGAAACTACAAACAGTTTCTTATAGATTTTGAACACTTGTGTTCACTCAAGTATATCCAGAAGTACATGTGTTTTTATACGGGAAATTGCATTTTTCATGGTCTTTTTTTCAATTTTTCCGTACTTTCCCCGCTGTCTAGAGGAAAACGGACTTTACCACGTGATTCTACTGTATAAAATCTATAAGAAACCATTTGTAGTTTTGGTTCCACACCATGAGTCAAAATTGACCTATTTTTAACATCCTTCTTTTATAGTTTGTAAATATTGTATACACCAATAATATATTTCTAAAGTAAAAAGTATTTAAATATTTAATAGATTTGATCAATTTGATGAGTCACTGACAATTAGAGGCTGACAATTAGGATGTTGCTAAAATTATTTGACTGATTTAGAAACAAATTCATAGAATTAATATTAAATAATTTTGAAAAAAATTTTCTAATTGTCATCCTCTATCTAACAACAATAATATAGCCAGCAAATTGTTATGTTATACCATGTTATTATACCTGCACATCATTACTCTTATTGTTATATACCGTCTGCATGTCATCCGAACTTATGTCTCTTGAAATATCGGTCTCAGATACGGAATCTTCTGGCGAATACTCGATGCCACTCTCGTTCGCCAGAAACGCGATGATCACTATCGTGCCGCCATCCAAAATATCTTGAGGTGGATACAAAAGATTCAGTCCATCGATATTCAAACTTGTTAATTGTTGAGCATAACCCAGAGATTTGGGCAACTTCTGCAGTGATTTATTGTAGCTGATGTCCAAATTGGTAAGCTGCTGCATCTGTCCAATACCCTCAGGTAATTGTTTTAAGTTGTTCCTCGAGACATTTAGAATTGTTAATTTACTCAAGTGAACTATTTCATTAGGCAGTTTGCGAATATTGTTGTCTTGCAAATAAAGTTCCTAAAGAACAAAATAAATCACAAAATTTTAGTATTATTGATAATATAAGCAGTAAAATTTATGATACATTAATATATCATATAAAACTATCATAGCACAATTTAATATACCTTGAGAGAAGTGAGATACATAATATCCGAAGATAATGAATTAAATTCATTTCCATGAATGTCTAAGACAGTTAGCAGCGACAGATCACTTAAGGCACCTCCACCCGAGAGGGAGCTCAGCTTGTTATCAAACATTAGCAGGCTCTTCTTTCGGAACACCTTGCAGAGCGAATAAATACCCGATGGCACATGCTTCAAGGCACATTCCGACACATCAAACACTGGCTCTGGATTTTCTCTGGCCTGTAGAACATTATATAATAAATAATAATAATAAAACAGTGTAACATTTACTGAAGTTTATGATGCAAAAGCAATTGCATTGTATAAGTGTAAATGAATGGTTGCTTAATGTTAATTAATTCTGTATCGCAAAGACTATTATCAATTATTTAGATTACAGCCGTCATAATCTCAATTCGCAAATACGCACCAGGTACAACTTGTACTCAAGCCGCGCTTTGTAATCGGCGTTAGCCTTGCTCCCGTGCTTCCTCGACATCCTCCTTATTTGCATCCGTTGTCATGACAAGGGAGCAGGCGATGATCTCATTTCGCACTGTTTTACACGAGCGACATGTGATAAATGATAACAACACTTCAACGTTGTGTCAAGTACAGTGTTGGGACATGCCTGACCATTTTTTCAGATGAGTCTCTTGTGTACATAGTACGTCATTGACCACGTGACAGACGTCGTTAATTCCATATAAAAAAAGTTTTTCTTTTCGTTTATCGTAAAAGTGTCTTCAATCTACTTTTTGCAGCCAAGTTTTCTTCACACATTCTCTTTTCCTACATGAAAAAAAAATAGAGTAGCATACGCTAAAGGTACCTTTTCAAGAAGCTGAAATTGAGCATCAGCATGAAAAGGCACCTTAAACTTTTCACAGTATCTCTAAAAAAAAAAATCCTATAAAGACCTAGCGTGGTGCATTCCAATCTATATTGAGTTCAGTGTCTATGATTGAAGCCATTTTCACCAAACTCCATCTCGGAGTAAACGTAAAATTTCTTTTCATCGAAGGTATCAGAAACTATAAACATGGCCGAGGTAAGCCTCCAAAATTTTATATTAAATCTACGAAATTCTCGCACATCCATTATGCAAAATGTAACAACACAAAGTATACATTTTAATTAGCTACTAAAGTACATCGGTAAAACAATATTAATATGTTGCGAAAAATGGTTGTCACGTGTTTCACAAACATTTTCATCTACTTTTCTGTGTTTTTTACAGGCTGATGAAACTCAGAAGAAGAAGAGGACCTTCAGGAAGTTCACCTTCCGAGGAGTGGACCTCGACCAACTCCTGGATATGCCAAAGTAAGATGTGACATTTGAATGGTCGATTATCTAAACATAACCTGTTGCAATTGGTTAATTTTACTAATTTTATTACGACCTGTGTTTATAATCCCTTTTTTAAACAATTATTGAAATAAAATAATATTAATTGTATTTTTTGTTAAGCTATTTTTATAATAAAATCTCTAAATTATCTGAATGAGATAGAAAAAGGAATAAGAAAAATTGTGAATCAAATTTTTTTTCAGTGAGCAGCTGATGGATTTAATGCACGCGAGAGCACGTAGACGTTTCTCTCATGGTTTGAAAAGAAAATCTATGGCACTTGTCAAGAAGCTGCGCAAGGCTAAAAAGGAAACTCCGCCCAATGAGAAACCAGAAATTGTCAAGACCCACTTGCGTAATATGATCATTGTTCCAGAAATGGTCGGCTCGATTGTTGGTGTGTACAACGGTAAAACTTTCAATCAAGTTGAAATCAAGCCAGAAATGATTGGACATTATCTTGGAGAATTCTCTGTTACGTACAAACCTGTAAAGCATGGTAGGCCTGGTATTGGTGCTACGCACTCTTCGCGATTTATTCCACTCAAATAAGTGGCATTTCTTATTTCATATTAATAAACTATGAAAAAATATCTTTGTTTAATTATTTGAACCTTTTTAATTCTTGATTTATTAAACACTTTACAAATAGGAAACATTACTTTTCTGACGATTAATAGGAAATTTTATTATAGAAAGAAATTCTTGATACATATACTTTATGTGCTGTAATATAAGAAGCGCATTGTTCGTACATCTATCCGTCGCTACTGTTATTTTGTTTCATAGCAAAGTAGGCACTTTGAAGCTCTCGAAGATTGCTTTCTAGTGTCGCAACTTCATCGTATTTGCAATCAGCGCGAGCTTGTTTGATGTATGCTCGAAGATTACTCATTTGTTCGATTATTGGATCCATAGAGGAAGACATCATGGGTGCAACATTGGATGGACCCCAGCCTTGAGACTGAGCTACCATTGCCTGTGCCTAAAAATTTAAAGAACATCATATTAAAATTTAAATCTTTATCAATCAAGAAATATGTTAAGCAATATAAATATATATATATATATATATATATATATATTATAGTTTGATATGCATTACCTGATTAGTTTTTGCAGGTAGACTGTTGTCTAAATTCCACATATCTTTCTTACGTTGTTCTTTCGGCTTCTCTCGTTGTTCTTCTTCCAATTGTCGCTCGTACGCTATTCGAGCTTCAATTCTTTTCTGACGTTCCTCTTGTAAAGCAGCGTATTCTTCTGTCGTGGGCAATGGTTGCAGAGTTAACAATTCTTCCTTTAGGAATATCATCGCTGATGTTCTAACCATCTGATACAGCCTCAGTTCTTGCCCTTGTGCTCCTTGCAACTCAGCTTCTGTATTTTTCTTTACACCAAGGACGAGAATTCTCTTGCTAGTAGCATCGATATTTTCACCCAATTTGGCTAACTTGACTCGTAATGATTGAGCATCGTCTAAATCATACATAGCCTCTCCTTCTCTAAAATAATTAAATGATCATTTTGATGTTAAGATTCGTCGATACAAGTTTTATATAAATAATTTGCATACCACTTGTGTCATTTTCTTGTGCATTATATTTTTTTATTTAATATGATGTAATGCGATTAAAGAATAAATCAACGTCTTAAATATAATAGAAATTTACATACTTTAATGACTCCCACATTTTGTTGTACATTGCCAAATGTTGCGAGGCTTCGTTCATGTACTCTCGCATTTTCTCATAAAACTCACAAACGATTGGTTTATCAAACTGCTTTGCTTTTTGCATCTCCCTTGCATCAAGCAGATTTATACAATGAGTACAAACTCTAAAGTGCTGTTCGCCACTAGCTGGATCATTAACTAACGATAAGACACTATTTAAACTACCACTGGAAGGTGATCGTGCCAATTTGGTGAGACCGATACCTGCACGTACTATCCTTTCGGGAAACGTCCGTTCTGACGTAGGAGAAAGAGCAGAATCGTCTTGTACAGATACAGGGCTAGTCATTTTTCCTGCAAAGAAATGCTGTTATTAAATGCTCTACATAGAAGAATCAATGAACTGTTTTTATAAATATTAATGTTACATACGTGCATCAACTAAAGACAGAAATACTGTACAGTTATGGCACATAACTGCCCCGCAGAGTCTACAGTGATGTTTTCGCCTTGCCAAATGAAAGCTTTTGGCACAATTGGGACATAACTTCACATCCTTTTCATCAATCCATGGTACAATGGTGCGTTCATGGGCTGTCATAATATTTATATTTGGGTTACATTGCATTAATTAAAAAAATAAACTAAATAAAAGGTATTGGAAGATGTCAATAATAATCATTTATTATCATTTTCTTACCTTTTCTGTCGACAGGATCTGATGGTAAATTATTTAATAATTTATCTAACCTTATAAGAAGTTTATTTGTTTCATATGCGTATCTCTCAAGTCGAGCATTTCTTATGTCTTTGAAATATCTCGTATGAGATGTAATTGCACCTAAAATAGATTTTAAATCAGTTATAATATTGTGAGTTAATCATATATTCTACTGCAAATAATCTCTGAATGTATTTTTTTAATTTGGGAAACTAGAGAATAGATAATAAAGCTGGATTTACCTATTTCTTGTGGTCCCCAATTAATTTCAGGACTTTGTCTTTTGTCCTGTGGTATTGCATTTGAAAACATTTCTGGTATATCATCTTGCTTCAAAATCTTTTTCTTGGCTTTGCCAAATAAATCTGGAACAAGGCCACTCTTGATTTCACTCCTTGCATTTTATAATCTTACACGGTGGACATAGTTCAACTCGAATCTCAAACTTTTATATAAACAAAGTTTGTGAATTGTAAAAGGAAAATGAAGCTCTTTGTAGATGTACCTTTCAGCGACTTCAAAATCTCCGGGTCGTCATTATGAACTTCCTCAAAATGCTTCGTTAAATACTTCGGCGCTTTGAAATCAGTCATGCATATAGGGCATATGAATCCCTCCAGCACTTCGCCGTTCCCAGCCATTGTAAAATTGTGATTTACAATTTACAATTCTCGATCGCGTTTGCCAATTCACTTATTTGTTCTAATGTAGGCGTTTCTCCGGTATTTCGGAAAAGAACGCGCCT